AGAAATAATCGTAATAAATAGAGAATTAAATATAATGATAGATTTAATTTTTGAAATTTGCATTAAATTCCACAAGAATCAATACTGAGGTTTTTATGATTAAAATATTTTGATATTCTTAAACCCATTTGTTTTCACCAGTGTCCATTACCCGGGAATTTACAAAGAATTTTGTAATGCGTATTTATCACGGATTTTTGTGATACAGTGCAGGGGTTAATACTAATCAATTAGCCTTTCGCCGCGGAGCACAGCTGGACGCCTGTTTTTAAAACCTCAACGTGCTATATTTTCGCTCTGGGTATGCCACACGGTTAATGAGATCCTGCGGAGTGAATCTCGATTTTCGGGGTGAATTGTGGGTAGAGAAAGACAATCAGCATTATTCATATTATTTTGTACCATAATTCATGAAAGAAAACCCATGGGAATGTAGCATTTCGCTGTGCAGCACATGCATCGACTGAGATTTTTCTTTCATCTCGGAAAACATCACTCGAAGGTGATTAAAAAAACTATTATTTTTATTATATTCCTGAGTGGAATTATTATCGTTTCAAATAATTAATTTTGCGGTTTTTCGCATTTTCTAATTTTTTTATCAAATAACTTATTTGAATTTGAAGAAATTTTGTGATTGAGAATTTACAATTCAATTAAAATTAATAAAAATAATTTTTTTCAATTCTACATTACACTCTACAATTTTATTATATTATTCAACAAAATGAACGATTTTATTGAATTTTCAATGACGAAATTCCTTAAAATTTCAGTGCAACTAAAATCTGATCACAACAAAAAATGAAAAACCGTTTACCAAAAATTTCAGACAGGAATTTTTACATTTCAATTGAAAGTTCAAGTAAATTAACTCTCGTCCTCTTGCTGCCCAAATCCGCAGCCTTTTTCCACTACTCTACCGATATTGAATTGAAATCTCAACATTAAAAAATTGAAGTGACTCGAGCCCTCCACCGGAACGTGGGCCGCTGGTTAATACCCCTTGGCTATTAATAGAGCCTTGCGAGGGCGTGTCTATACCTCCATGCCCATTGATACGAGCCAGCGTAGATATCTTCGATTCTGTCCATCTCGAATTGTCAATGACACCATGCAAATATTCAACGATTCCCCTCTGCATCCATTGAGCAAACAACTGGGCTCCTTCAACAGGAGCACCTCTCCCCCCTCGCAAAATGTAAAAATAAAGACTCGAAGGAAAATGGAAATAGTCTACCCGGCAAGATGTTGAGATTTACATTTGCGTTTACGATGTCGGGGATTGAGATGGAGCGAATTAAATGCAAATCTGTTTTAAACTGTGGGTGGATCGACGCTCAGCTGCTACGACGATCGAGACCGGCATGCAAACCTTGAATTGTCTTATTTTTACGAATTTAATGTCTTTTTCCACTCGAGACCCGCTTTCACATGAATTTCATTTTTTACTCCGCGGTAATGCGAAATTATCCCTGAATTCTTCTGCCAAAAGTATTTCTTCCAGATAAAATATTCCCTCATCAATTAAATTTGCATGTAATCAATTTAACGATTGAAGGAATTCCGTAATTATCGCTGGTAATTATGAGACTTTCATATGTGAAATTCATATGAATAATCCCTCTCGATTATGATACAAATTTAATGATTGACTCTGCACGTTCATTAAATCAACGGGTAGACGTTAATAATCCCCATAAACTCAATCAAAATTTATCCGGTCCAGTACTCGTGCTGCTGCAGTGCTTTTTTTCCCCACCTCGAGTCCTTAATGAAGCCCGTGTGGGCGACTTTATTGTTCTAACCAGAGACGTTGCCATTCGTTTTCTCCATTTCTGTCACTTGCGGAAGTGAAAAGACGATTCTCTTAATTTCCCATTTTCTTTGGGAAACTTTTAAAACGAGACGAAAACACAAACCCACGCTCGTGGCCATATTCGCTGGCCAGTGGGAGGTAATGGAACGATTTTTGAGGCGCATTGCGAGCGACTGCTATCGAGAATTAGCAATTAATTTTTTTACTCGTCATTTTAAATTGTTATTTAAATTGTTGCAATTGTCTTTGGAAATGTCTTCACATTTTTTTGTAAGTAACACGACTCGGAAATACATTAATTAGTCTTTACAAATGAATTAAAAAAATTAATTCTGTTAATTCTGTCATTGAAAAACTCCACAATGACTAATTACAGCCCTGAAAATCCTAGAATCACGATAAACATAAACTCGTCAATTTCCAGTGAAACAATTTCTTCCAGAAATTAACCTCAGAAAATACTTCTAAGAGGATTACGACTTTGTGGCATGTAAACTACTTACAGGATGTTCCCTCAAGTTTTTCTCACCTCTGAAACCTCGCCTTGGAAAACCAGTCGAACCCGCGAAACCCCTGGCACTCTCCTCCCCCCCATAATCCCAAGAATTACGAGAGTCGCAATAATTTTTCCTCTCAAAAGCCCGCGATAATTATCACCGAATAAACAAAATGGTTTATTGTGCCTGAGAAAATCGAATTTTCCCCGGCGTTTGAACTTGAACTGCAATTTTGCCACAATAATTTCCCCCGCTATCACCCATAAACTTCACGCTTCATTTGATAAAATTATTCCTCGTCCCTCGTGATATACAGCGCCGCATTGGGCCGCAACCGTGACATCTCGTACCATTGCTGTAAATTAAATTTAACGTCACCTCTGCCATCCCCCCCTTTTTTTCCACCCAATGGGTGCTTCGTTTCACCTTTTTCTCGTGCAGTGTCAACCCACGCGGCGATCCTATACCACTCGGGAGCCATTGTCTACCCAGTAGTCACATGAATCTTCCCGAGGAAATTCAGCGGTTCTTAGAGAGGTGGAGAATTGAATTTTTTTTTCTATTTAAGGATATCCAAGTATCTTTTACTATTTTTGTACGGACCACAGTATTGTTTCAACCACTTTCAATCATCAAATTTGTCAATTAAATTGCGTGAAAAAGAATTTGGAAAAAATCGTGAATATCCTGCGTCATTCAAATTACATTTTTCACAGAATTATTTTTTTCAACATTCGTTGCTTATAAATTATTTATAGAAAATACTTGTGGTTGTCAAAAATTTGAATTTTTTAGATTTTTCATCAATTTTCTTTCAAAAGCAAACTTTCAATTTTTTTTCAGATTTTTAAAATGTTTTCTAAGAGTTCAATCTCGAGATTCAAATTCAGATCTGGAAATTTTAAATAATAAAATAATTGTACAATGTCTGGAACTCCATTAATTCATTCATTCAATTAAATTTCGACACATTACGATTTTCTGCGTAATTTTTATCCAATTTTTCTCTCCCTGTGGAAATCTAAATATCTGTCAACGTCTTGCGTCAATCAAATAAAGTCACAACATTGCCCGAATTAATTCATGCTCAAAATGATCAATTCCATAATCAATAATTATCAATTATCAATATATCATGTAATATAAAACCAAATGAAGAAGTATTTACCAAAAAGAAATCCACACATTAAATGTTTTCATTTAATTCTGTGACAAACGACCAAATTTCTCAACATCCGAATTACGTCTCACTTCAACATTTCCTCTACCACTTCAGTAGTAATTCCCGCGCGTCAGACATCGATTTGGCGCATCTCCAAGGCTCATTCCCCCCAAAATCCGTCAAGACCCCCCGATGTTTTGTCTAACGTGAACCGCCGTAAAATTCCCATTGGCAATATCGAAACGAAAATCTATTCAAAGCACAAACGCCGAACAGTTCTCAACCCAGTGAACGCCATACCCAGCGGGCCGAGACGTCCAATGAAATTCTGTGCACTTGGTAAAGTGCCAAGAAAACAACCGCCAACAGTACAATCGCTCCGCAGCGTCATCGAACTCAAATCACTTCCGTATGTCCCTTTCCGCTCGTGAAAATAAACCCAAGGGACACCAATCCCATTCTCCATTCTTCCTTCCCTCAATCCGCGCTTACCATCGGTTCAACAACCCCACGACAATTCACAGATCGAGAATTCAGAATGCAACGCGAAAATTCCCGGCTCAATTGTGTTATAACATCTCTCACTCCTTCATTCTCATTCTTTTAATCGATTTTTGTTATTTCTATTCCCACTGAATCGTTCGAGTGGATGCGTTAGGCGATAAATGTTTATCGCGATTGCGGCTAACGTTTGTCTCCACACACCGGGGGTTATAAGAAAATAGAAGATAATGGCGATTGGTTGAGCGTTTTTCAAATTTATGGGACATCGACAGCAAATCTTTACGTTTCCTTCAACCGCTATTTTTGATTTAAAGATATGAATCCATTGTGTATTGCTACTGGACGCGAGAGAATTACTCATGATATTCGAATACATAACGACCCGTTTTACCCCCGTGTCCACAAAAAAAAAAAAAAAATTGCGCCAAATTGGATTTAATTTTTAAAAATAAACTTTTCTTAAATAAAATGAGAAGTTTCTATTCTCTTGACATTGAGGGTGAATGACCCGTTCTGCCCCATCTCAATCCCTGCGGATTTCATTTAAATACATGTGAAAAATTTCCTAAAATTGTTCGTTCATTAAATGACATTTTTATTTTCATTTTCACATTTTTTTCTGAAAGGGTGAATAACCTATTCTGCCCCACCCAGCTTTCTAATGACACAATTTTAAATTTTACCTCTCAATTCCTCTGGATTTAATGTCAATATAAAATCAGCGAATTGATTGACTTTTAAAATAAGAATTTTCCCTCTCAACATTTAATACTCGAGTGATTAGTGTGCGGTAAACATCAAATAAACATCATTAAGCGAGTATGGTATCGTTTGAATTATAATTTTGTCGCAGTTGAGGTACAACCGCGGAGGGGATACCCCCCGATGAACGAAAATTAATCGCAGGTTGTTAGGAGATAAGGTGGCGTGATCTGATTCGCGAGAGCCGGTTGAATTATTTGTGTCTATGTTGTTTTAAATGATTAGGCTGAATGGCTAATTTGCGGTTGTTTATTACCTTGCACCCACGACGACCTGCTGTCTGGCGACGTCGAAGAGAAGCTGGGAGTACGTCGTCACGCCTTCGTCGTGGAACAGACTGCTTCTCTCTGCTAAATCTGGAAAAATGCGTAATTTATCGTTGAGGGGGTTATTTCAGTGGTCGCGAGGGATTTTGTTGCGACATCATCTCGTTTAACTGAATCTTGAGTGGCCCTCCGTATTTTTAACGATTTGAAGGGCATTATTTATTCTAGATTATATCGACAATACTATTCTACATTTTTGAAAATTGAATTGACCTTTAAAAATTAAATTACATCAATTTGAATTCAATTTAAGGTCAAACCGTTCAAGAAATTCAGCTTTTAATGTAAAACAATGATTTATATTTCAATAAAAACTTGATTTTTCAAACTAATTTTGAAATCTAAAAATTGCATTCAATTAAATCTCCAGTGAACTAAGAATTCCCAGAAAAATCTGCCTGTATTTCACCAAGTTTCACAATCATAAGGACCCGAAAACCCGAGTCCCATAAATACTCACCAAATTTCCTGATTTATCCATTAAAAAAAAACCCAGAATTCATATAACCTCGAACCACCCAAAAATTTCACCACATTTTCACTTAAAATCTCAACAGCTCCCCATGAAAAATGTTTCCCCCCAGAAACCGAAAATCCCTAGCCCCCCAATCATCCCGGATTTCCCCCCGCCCCCTCCCAAAACCCTAAAACCGCAATTCCCCTCCCCCTCCCATAAATTCCCCATAAAACCGCAACCCCTTTTATCAGCCCCCCATAAACCGTTGATACCCCTCATAAAAAAATTATTAAACACCACAAGCTCCAATAAACCAGAATCCTCGAACCGAAAAGAGGCATAATCTCCATTTCCGAACGAAGCAACAGTCCTCCCTCTTGAAGAGGTCTCCAACCGTGTTTATCTCATCCATTGCCATTGCTATCCACGAGTGTCTCCTCGGTTATGCCTTTTCTCATTCGCCCTCGCCCTCCCCCTCCCCCGACACCGATATACAAAATGCTTGCTTTACAGCCGCGTTAAAACGTCTCTGGGGAGTGAGAAAAGGGGCGCAGAAAGGAGAAACAAAACTGTAGATAAAGATGCGGCGAAGATGTTAAATAAGAGTGAACGAGAGGGAAGAGTCTCTCGTCCTGGCGAAGGACGAAGGAAATATCCTCTTGCCTTGCTCGTTTCGCAGAGCACATATATTACCCTTTCCCCCTTCCCCCCCCCTGTTGCCACCCACCCACCCCCATATATGCAGCAGTGCAACGCAGGAGGAAGCCCATACAGCGTTGAGCCGTAACGAGCCATCGGTAGAGAAGAAAATGAGAGAGACTGTTCACTCGTAAAGCAAGCCATCGATTCCCCTAGTCGTTTCGTCCACCATGTTTGAAAGTTGAGGTTTTTAGCGAGAAAAATTTAACCACCCGACATCCATACATGCCTGGCACGTATCAATTCCCCCCAGCTAACGACCGAGGACTCGTTCCTCCCCGGTTCTAGGGGTTTTTTGTTTGTTTTGCTGGATGATGCGTAAATGCAATCGGCTGCCTCTTTCCTGGTAAACGTCAATTTCCCCCTTTGATTCATAGTTTTTCCGTTGGTGAGGAGTTTTCCCAGGAATTGTCGTGGTGTTTTTTCACGGTTGGAGTATGAAATATTCATTTGAGGCGGAGAATGGACTGGGGTTTTTAGAGGGAATGGAGGAATTGACTGGCGACTTGAGGCTTTGGGGATTGGGGAGATTATTGTTTTGAGAATTGTAAGGTTGGGTTGTGATTTGCAGTTTTAATTTGAATTTTTTGAAGGTTTGAAGGTGATTCAAGGGGGTTTAATCCTTAATCTATATTTTAAAAATTTAAAGACTGTGTTTTTTATGTTTACGACGTTATTTCGAATAAATTAGCAGAAACAGATGCTCTTTCTTCAAAATTATTCATCACAAATCGTAAAAAAATAGTTCGCATTCAGAATTCTACATCGATTTAAGAATATCTAAGTACTTTGGCTATTGTTTCTCCAGTGAAATGCTCTTCTACTTTGGTAAAATTTTGATTTTATTATTAAAATTTTGCAGCTCTGAATTTGAATCGATATTGAACCGTTAGAAAATATTTTAGGTCTGAAAAAAAAATTAGACAGCCTATTTTTGGAAGAGGATTGCTGAAACAATTAAAAAATTGCAATTTTTGAAAATTACGAGTACTTTCTACAAATAATTTATAATTAATGAATTGTTCATCGCAAAAATCATGTGTTCCGAATCGCAACAAATTTATTCATATTCTAAATTTTACCAGAAATCGATTTCATGCCCAAAAAAATGAGATTTCCGAAAGTTTCAATTATTTACTTATAATCAACAATTCGTAATTTTTCCAAATTTTTCGCACGCAATTTGATCGACAGATTTGATGATTGAAAATGGTTGAATCTATAGTCCGGTCTGTACTTGGAAATCCTTAATGAAAAAAATGTCCAAATGTTAAATAAATTGTATGTTAATCATAAAGTCTAACGAATTGCCTTCAGAAAATGCTTCTCCATGTTGTCTCAGACCTATGGAAATGTACTTGAACCCGAGAGACACCTGTTTCGCAATGAAATAAATAGCCACCCGCATCGGCATACCCAATTAAAACAATATTACATAATTGGAATGCCAAACTAATCGCAGAGTCCCAACAATCTGACATAATCAATGACGTCTGGTGCATTAGTTGACTGAGCAAGCCAAACATTTTATCTCATTTTTCTAACCGTTAATAAAAATAACGTCAGAATCTTTAGTATGCAATCGAGATAAAGTCCCACGTGTGGCTGTAAAATGCCGAGATTTTCCTCGGTGTTTCATTCGTTATAACCGCAACGACGCATTGCATTCAATCGTGATGGTATTGAAGTAACGACAGCTAAATATTCCGCGAGTGATGAAATCACTGACGCTAATTAGAGCCGAAAGGACTGATATAAGAAATCATAAAATTCTCGAATGAGACATTTTCGCGATCGCCATCGGCCTTGGATCGATAATTGGGGCTCATTTTCGGGTCGTGGAAGGGGTCCTTATCGCTGATAGGACCAAATTTCGGCGGCTCAAAGGCACTTATCTCCAACAACTTTCGTATTCCGCGTGTGTTTTTACATTCCTCACTGACTTTTTAAGCACTTTTCAGGGAATTAATCAACTAAATTTTTCCATATCGATAATCCGAGAATGATCGATCACCTCTTATGGCAGTTTTTGCGCAATCGAAACATCTGATTTCCTTCGGAGAGATTATTGACTGTCCATCGATCCGTAAATTGCGCTCTAATTCCTTTGCGTTACATGATTTTCAAATTTTTCACTCACTAAGTATTTCCTTATTTGCATTTGCACGTTGGAAATATTTCTCATTTCTTATATTTTCTCTTTTAATCCTGATAATAAGATCGAAAAAAATTTATTGAAAAATCCAACGAATTAAATAAAATTTCTGCTGTTTTTTTTGCAGAAAATGTCCGATAGAAATTATTTTACATAAAAAATCTGTAGAACTTCACCTTTTTATACAACTTTTTCTATTGCGATATTTTCTATAAGAATAATTGAAGTGAAAAAGTATTTTATTTATTTCCAGATCATTTCCACATCAAACCCCTGCAATATTTAATATTTCAATCCCAAGATTTCCCGAAATTTGAGTGGAACATGAACACGACAAAAATTTCCAAAGTTTAACCCGAAAAATACCGACAAAAATTTTTACCAGTGCACTTCAACAAACCGAAAAAAAAACTCCCAAAATTTCCTTAAAAACGTAAACTCCTGTCCCTCACAACTCCCTTCAAAATTCAGCAATTCTTATTTCTGTCTGCGTCTCGTCTCATCTCTGCGCCCCGCCCGAAAGTTTATTTTCACACCCGTGCTGACAGCGTCGTGCCGTCTGGATTGCGTTGGGGTCCACTCTGGTGAGTAGCAGAACACGCGAAAAAGAAGGGAGAATAAAAAACCGAGGGGGATACATATTCTAAACGAGATTAGACACCGCCGACGGCGAGAGCTGACGAGGCGTATCGAGCTTCTAGGAAGCTTCCCTGGATTAGATTAGAATCCTCGCCCCCATCTCCCCCCTCCCCCGCCCGCCTCTCGGCGAAATACACACAACACACTGTTACTCCATCAAGACTTGCTTCAGCAAACACCAAGTGCACGTATCTCCACGAGATAAAACGCAAAATGGGACGGAGATAACGGCCGAATGAAAAATAGGAGTGAAGAAAAAAATCGCCATTTGCATGGAAATTCAGAACGTGACAATAACGACAGGAGTTGCGATGACTCGCAATGGGCATGGGGGACGGGAGTATCCTTATTTGATGGGGATACGTTAATCGCCGGGAGATTGTGGGTGGGGACACATTCGCCACCCACGTTGGGCCTTTAACGCGTGTAATGGAATACGAAAAGAGTCCAATGAGTTTATTCTCGGTTTTCACGCGGCTCTTTATGCACACGAGCCTGCTGGATTTTATATTTTTATGGAAATCGTTGGAGGAGGGGGTAAATTTCTTTAAATTTTTCTATTCATTTTGATAAAAATATTTTTTTTATGAAGTTAATGATTTATTCATTCAGGATAAATACAGAATTTAGAAAAAAATTTAGGGAGATGACTTATGAAATTTGTTTAGGGTATTAAACAAAATATTGAAAAGAAATGGAAACAAAATTAGGATTTTGCATACGTAAATTTTTGTTTATTTTCTCATTCACTTGAATGAAAATGTTTTTTTTCAATGAAATGAATAATTTATTCATTCCGGATAAATATAGCATTTAGAAAAAAATTTAAGTCGATGATTCATGAAATTTGTTTAATGTTAATACGAAGTATGAAAAAGAAATGAAAATAGACTGAAAAATAATGAGAACTTATTTATGGACAAAGCAAAAATAATTTGACAACCAAGAAATTTCTCCCCGTTTACTTTCCAACTTATTGATCACTCAATCATCGATTTATCAGTTTATTAAGCTGCAAATTGTAAGCATCGACCCAATGCCCGCATTCGCAAAAACCCAAGATCTTAATGAAGCCACAAA